AGCCAAAGGAGCCAAAGGAGCCAAAGGAGCGCTCCGGGAATTTTCAGGAAGAAAAGCAAAAGTCGACAGCCCAGACGAGCAGCGCCTTTTCGAGATTTGGCGGTCGGAAGAGTCGAGCTAGCAGTCCACTCACCATCCTGATCACCACCTTGCACCTTGCGCCTTCGACCTCTCGTCCACACCTGCCTTGTCCGCAATTGCAGCAGTCGCCCACAGCTGCGTCTCGCATCCATCGGCTCCGGAAAACATGGCGGCCAACCGTTCGCTCTCGCACGCAGTGCGACCCCTCGCACATACACCCTCGGCATCCACATCCAAGCAGGCGCTCTTGAGAGCTACTCGACCGGCGCATGCACGCGCTGCGTCGACCGCCGTCGCTGCCGCAGCACCAGCCACTGAAGCAGCAGCCGTCTCGTCGACGAGCTACGTACACGACCCAACACCCAATGCGCACCTGCCGCGTCTCGCACGAGCCGAACCCGAGCTGTTTGCTGCCGTGCGTCCGCCGCCGCTCTCTGCATTTGCTGCGCTGACGGCGAGATTGGGCCTGCTCCCGTCGTCGCTCGACGCCGAATCCCGCGAGCGCCGCATCCGCCTCGTGCACCAGGCGTGCACCCACCCCTCGTTCCAGGCGCTCGTCGACAAGATCAACGCCGCGGCGAATCTGCAGCTCGAGCCCTCGGCGGCTGCGTCTGGCCTGGCCAAGAAGCACGGCGCGACTGCGCTCGACGCGGCGCAGTTCCTTCCCCTCCCCTCGGGCGCTGTGGATCACCACGCTGCGCTGGCCACCGTCGGCAACTCGCTGCTCGGCATGCTTGCCACCGAGCACCTGCATCTGCGCTTCCCCAACCTGCCCACACGCGTGCTCAAGGCGGCCGTCTCGGCGTACGTCGGCCCCATCACGCTCGCCGATGTCGCCGCCGAACTCGGCCTCGCGGGTCAAGGCATCCTGCGCTGGAACAAGGAGGCACGCATCCCCACATCGACCAACCTCGTGCACAAGCGCAACGGACGCGGTGCCGCACCCAAGCGCTCTGCCTCGTCGGATGCGTCGTCATCGTCAGGCCCCATGCGCTCGCTGCTGAGCAAGGACGTTGCGGCCGATGCGATGCGCGCGCTCGTCGCCGTCGTCTTTCAGGAACACGGCCTGGCGGGCGCACGCACGTTTGTCACCAACCACTTTCTGCACCGCCAGCTCAACCTCGCCCCCTTGCTCAAGTTCAACAATCCCAAGCTGGCGCTCGCCTCGACGTGCGCAAAGTACAACAAGCCGGCGCCACAGAGTCGCATGATCGCCGAGAGCGGCAGGCTGAGCATCAGCCCCGTCTTTGTCGTCGGCGTCTACTCGGGCGCAACCAAGATCGGCGAGGCAAGCGGAAGTTCGATCCGCATGGCCGAGTTTAGGGCCGCAGAGGACGCGCTGAGGAGGCTCTATCTGGCAGAGACGCCGCTGGGCGACTTTGACCTGCCAAGCGTTACCCTCGATGCTTCCTTCCCCGGACTCACACCGTCAGCCGCACAAGCGTCCTACAACCCACAGCCACTTGGCCAGGCAGAAGTTCTTCCTGCTGCTGGAAAGAACCATTAGCATACTTTTACCCCTCCCCGCAAAAATTGAAAGCAAGCGCGCGTTTTTGCAATCCCACACGCTTTACCCACACATACGACCACACACACGACATCAACAGCGCCGTTGGTAAAAAAAAGGTGAGAATGTGAGACTAGACTACATCGTCGAAATCCTCTTCGTCGTCGTCGTCATCGTCCGAGGTGTCATTTTCGCCCAGGTCCTCTTCTTGATTGTGGCTCCGAGCTGGTGCCGACGAGGAGGCAGCGGGGGCGGGTTCGGTTTTGCGCATGTTGGCGTATTCGGGTTTGAGGCTCCAGTTGCCCACGTAAGGTCCGCGCTTGTGCAGGTCGGCGATGCCGGTGAGTGTCTCGCGCAGATACGATTCGGGCTGCTGCGTTTCCGTGCGCAGCTTCTTGAGCGACCAGTACTGCCAGCGCTCGAAGAGCGCAAACAGCAAATCGAGCAGCTCGTTCTTGGGCATGCGCGCAAACTTTTCCGTCCCCGCCCCTGTCGCCTTTGGCTTCGTCGCAATCGCCGCATTGAAGCGCGACTTTTGCGAGTGCAGCCCCGCGCCGACGCCGGCAACGAGCATGTTGTGCCGCCCGGCATCGGCCGAGTCGAGCATCTTGATCGTGCGCTTCGGCTTCGATGCCTCCTCCCGCCGACGCCGCAGCAGCTCGCGATAGGCGTCCGAGATGGGTGCACCCCCCAGACTCGCCGTGCTCGGCTTGGTGTCTGCACTGCGAATCTGCGGTTGAAGCGCCGCCTCGTTGGTCACTGTCCCGCACAGCGCCGTGATGCGCCGCGTCTTACCGCGCTTCTTCGTGCGTCCTTCGTCGTCGGACGAATCGCTCTCTTCCTTCTTGGACGGTCCGGCAACAGGATCGACATCCTGCAGCTGCTCGCGAAAGGCGTAGATGTTGCGCTTGATCGTCGATGCACTGTCCGACGTGAGCTTCAAGTCGTACGCGCGCGGGACTGTATCGTATCGCGGATTGCGCGGCTTGCCCGGTTCAGTCGGTACGGCCGGTGCGGGTGGATCGGGCAGCAGAAGCTCCATGCGCTGGTGGCCCGTGTGGTCCGGATCGTACACGCGCACCGTGCCCAGACGCAGATCGTCGGTACGAATCGCGCTCCATGCCTGCAGAAGAAACTTGGGGATCTTGACGAGCCACACCGGATGCTTGCCCTCGGACACGTCCAGGTCCTCGTCCGGCTCGGGTGAGAGGCGCGATAGCGCATCCGACGCGTCGACAGCAGCAGCCTCGGCGTCTGCACGCGCACGTTTGCCGAGCGACGACGATGGCGCATCGCCCGGATCAGCGATCGGCTCGATATCGTCCTCGTAGTTCGACATGGCCGCGGGCTAGAAGCAAGAGTAGAGAACGTGGTGGATTGCAAAGCCGTGTGCAGCCAGTTTGTGGGTCGACGGTTCAGTCGAGGTGCGTGCACTCCACTTTTTCTGCCCATCGCTGATTCTGCGCTCTCGATTGCGCCTTATCGGGGAATGTCAAAAGTCTAACACGTTGAAAGCACCGCAAAAATCTCGGCAAATCTTGAGCTCCTCTTCGGCCAGGCGGCTAGCTTCGGCACAACTCAACACATTTGAACCGCAGGAAATCGTGCAGGAGGGTGCAGCCGGGCTTGCATCTCGAAACCTTGCTCCCTGGGCTCCAGACCAAGCGCTTCGGGTTCTCTGGGCTCCAGCATCACTGAGCATCGCTGAGTGTCGCCGGTGTCGCTTTTGTTTGCCACTGAATATCATCCCGGTCACATGGCTCCGCCCTCAACGGCTCCCACTCTACGCTCCGCACATGTACGGGTTGGGGCTGATAAGCACTCGGCTCTCTCCGCAGAGGCCCTTCGACATGCAGGGGCGAGCATCGCCAAGCCAAGCCAACGCCATCGAGGTGTTGGGGAAACCAGACGGTGACAGACACAAGATGCGCAGGCTGCCGGAAAAAAAAAAGGTGGCAGCGGCAGCTGTTTATGCATTCCGAAAAAAAAAATGCCCGAGCCGACTGGCCCGCCTTTCGTCCGCACTGGGCATGTCGGTATCGAGAGCCGTGCTCCACACGCTTCATGTCGCTGCGCTGCGTCTTGTGGGCCCACAATCCGAGAGGCTCACCGTATGGCACTGCAAAGCACATCGATGTTCGCAATGCTGATGAGGACGCGCAAAGCGACTTCGGAAGCGTGACACCAAGCGGCGGTTCGCTGCGTGCAGCGCGGGCGGAGTTGACATGCCGGCGTTGAGGTCATTTTTCTTTTCTTTATGGCCCGCGGCAACCTCGGCTGCGTATCTGCTTTTTTGTCGGTCCTCTTTGCGGGCCTACGACCTCTTGCGGGCTCGTATTGCTTCTCGCTGCCCGTCTGTTGGAGATAGCCAGAGACCCTGTAGGTGCGGGGTAAGCTGGGCATGTCGCTGATTGGACCCGCAAGCCCGTATCAGTATGCTCTCCCCTCGCCGCTGAGTCGTTGCCCTGGTGAGCGTGCTGTGACTCGGACTTGGTCCACCCCTTATATCCCTCGCCGCTTGCCTCCCGGCCATCGACATCCCTCCCACCTTCCTCACTCTGGTCCATCCGCTCCTCGAAACAATGTCGAGCTCCAAACCCGCTCCTGCCGGTCCCGCTGGGGCTGAAGCTGGGGCCGCGGCGAATCTGGCCAACGAGAAGCGCGCGCAGCAGCAGACGCAGACGCTGCACGACTACCGTGCGCACCCCGAAGCGCGCGCATCCTCCAAGCACCTTGGCTCCACCGCCGAGTCGCCGGCGGCCTCGGCCACGGGCGCCATCACGGTGATCGACAAGACGCACTTTTCGACGCTCGCGCTCATCGGACTGTGCTACTGCATCCTGAACAGCTGGACGGCCGCCTCGGCCTCCATGTCAATCGCGCTCATCAGCGGCGGGCCCTCGGTGGCACTGTGGGGTATGGTCGTTGCCTTTGTCGGCGTCATGGCAACCGCACTATCCATGGCCGAGATCTGCCACGTCTACCCGACGACGGGAGGACAGTATCACTGGAGCTTCTGTCTCGCCCCCGCACGATACCGATACGTGATCGCCTACTTTACCGGATGGACCGCTGTGGCTGGATGGGTGGCCTTGACCGCGACCGCATCGAGCCTCGCCGGCCAGTTTATCGTCGGGATCATTGCGCTGCTGCATCCCAACTACGAGAGCCAGCCGTGGCACATCTTTCTGGTGTACGTCGCATTCAGCCTCGGCGCCTGGGTGATCAATGCGTTCGGCGTGCGCATCCTCGACTCGCTCAACCGCGCAGCCATGATCTGGAGCCTCGTCGGCGCCGTGGTGATCATGATCACCTGCCTTGCACGCGCCACCCCGGACTACCAGGACGCCAAATTCGTCTTTGGCAAGTACGTCAACCAGACCGGATGGAACAACGGTGTGGCGTGGATCCTGGGCCTGCTTCAGGCGGCCTTCTCGCTGATTGGTTCGGACGGTGCAACGCATCTGGTCGACGAGATCGACAGGCCGGCGATCAATGCGCCTCGAGCCATGATCTTGGCAGTGGCCATCGGGGCCTCGTCGACGTTTATCGTGCTCATGGTGTTCTTGTTTGTGCTGCGCGACTTTGATGCGGTGATCGAGTCGTCGGCGGGGGCGCTGTTGGAGATCATCTACCAGGCCGTCGGCAACAAGGCGGGTGCAGTTTGTCTGCTCATCTTCCCCGTGTGCAGCATGGCGTTCACTGCCACAGCGCTGCTGACCACCTCGTCGCGCATGAGCCAGGCCTTTGCACGCGATCGTGGCCTGCCCTTCTCCAACCTTCTGCAGCGCATCTCGGCTAGAAATGAGGTGCCCATCCCAGCCCTCGTGCTGACCACCATCTGGGTCATCGTGTTTGGTTGCATCTACCTCGGCTCCTCCTCGGCCCTCAACGCCATCCTCAGCTCCAGCGTGGTCCTCCTGCAATTCTCGTACATCGTCCCGATTGTTCTGCTGCTCATTAGGGGTAGGAAGGTGCTAGATACCGACAATGCGGGTGCGGAAGGCAGACGACACTTTGACCTGGGCAGGTTGGGATTGCCGATCAACATGTTTGCCATCGCATTCGTGCTCTTCACCAACGTCTTCTTCCTCTTCCCGCCCGAACTGCCCACCACGTCCACCAACATGAACTACACCATTGTTGTCGTCGCCATTGTCGCCATCATGAGCGGCGCGGCTTGGATGGCGCATGGCAGAAAGTGGTACAAGGGTCCGCTGGATATGGACGAGATCCTGTTCAGGACGCGCGGATTCGGCCGCTTTGACGCCGCCGAGCAAAAGCCAGAATCGGCAAATGTCTAGACAAATGCTCTGTATTGAAGGAACCTGCTCAATTTCAGCTTGCCATGCTTTCGCTCTGACCGCTCGACCAGATGATCGGCTCGCTCTTGTTGGCGCGTGCTTGGGTTGCGTTCGACCGAGACAGTCGGTGAGCCATTGATCTTGGTCTTGTTGTTTGGCAACGCCAACAAAGCGTCGCGCGGCATCGATGCCATTGAGCCTCGACGAAGCGCATGTGCTGCCTCGGATGTCGATACGATCCACCACAACCCCGTCGCTACACCTTTTCGCAGCGGCATCTGTCGGCGCCCTTTGCGCGCCCTATCCACCTCTCACCTCGCTCCCTTGTCTTTGTCCGCTTCGCACTCTCAGCCCGGGCATGCACGATGCTGGCCTTACTCCAAACCCCTCACGCGCCTACTGCACTCTCCCACACACAAGGACGATTCATCACACATCGCGGTTCGTCACACTGACAGTGCACTGCATTGCCGCTGCCTACGATGCGGCTGGCTACCTTCGCGCCGCCGACTTCTTCTGGGGCCTAGGGGCCATGTCTACATCCTGCACCGCTGCGCCAACCGCCCCTGCCGAAGGCTTTCTCTTCTTTCCCGCCACGCCCTTTTCTGGCGGGGTACTAGCCGCGCTAGACCCGCTTCCCGTTTCTGCCGCATAGATCCCCGCCGCCTCTCCCACCGGTGGTCCTGCCGCGCCGTGCAAGAACGCAGCAGTCGTCGCGGGTGAAAACGCAAACGAGGGCGACTCGCCGAAAGTCTGGGCGCTCGGACTCGCCACGCCACCCCCTGGCGCCTGGGACGAGTCGACAAACTGGCTCAAAAACGAGTCCACGTCAAAGTCCGGCTCCATGCCACCCGGCGGCGCGCCTGTACCCGCACCGACCGCTGACGATGGAGGAGGAGTGGTGCCCGTAGGACCATACGCCATACCTGCATCAAACGGCGCACTGTTACCCAGCATGCCAGCTCCAAACGCGTTCGCTGGGTCGACAGGCTGCTGCCACATCGACGCACTACTCGCGGGCACGTCTACACTCGCCGGTGGCTGACTCGTCAAACCCTGGAGCAGGTTCGGGTTGGTCTGCAGACCTTCGATGAGCGAGTTGATGCTGTTCTGTACGTGGTCGACGTCTTGCGAGGTGTTGTTCAGATCGCGCGTGGCGCGCGACAGCGACAAGGCAAGCTGCTGGTTGCTGCTATCGTCGCCACCATCGAGCGGCACGCCTGCACCAGAGCTCTTGGTGGGCGATGTGACATAGCCACCCGCTGCCGTGCCAAAGTTCTGGCGCGCGGGCGACTGGATAAGCGCCTGCGAGATCCCCGCAATCCTGGCAAGCGCGTCCGCATCCAGACCCAACCCCTGCCCCGAGCTCGAACTGTCGACCGGCTGCGATGCGCTGCCCTTGCTGCTTGCGGTCGAGTTGGGGAACGTCGAAAAGCGCGACGAGAGATCGGCGGCGTCGGTGCTGCCGCCACCAAAGTAGTCGTTGCCGCCATCGTTCGACGAGCCTGACTGTGCGCCGCTGCCTGCGCTCGCAAGCGCCTGCTGCAACGCAGCCACCATGTGCGGGTCGAGCTTGAGGCCTCCTCCGGATGCCGGCCCAGTGGACTTGGAGCCCTGGTTGGCGAGGCTGGCGCCAAAGAGACTCGCGAGCCACGCGTTGCCCTCGCCGGACGCAAGCGCGTTGAGCACCTGATTGCTCGCCTGCGACGAGAGCCTGCGCGAGCCGCCGGGTGTGGAAACGGCCTCGTTGAGGTGTCCGCTGAGATCGGCTGCCATGGAGTTGCTGGGCGGCGAGCCGATCTGGGTGAAGCGCGAGCCGCCCTGGTTGGTGGAGGGGCTGTTGCCCTTGGGCGAATCGCCGCTGCTGCTGGCTTCTTGGAAGCGGAGGTGGGATGGCATCTCTTCGATCTCCTCCTCGTCCGCGGGCAGTTCGAGGCCTTCGAGACCGCGCACGGGCGACGACTTGCCGTCCTCGATCATGAGGCGACCCTTGTTGCGCGCCTGCGGACGCACGCCGACCCTCCTGCCGCCAGCGCCGCCGCGACCCTTGGCCGAGACGCCCTTCTTGCCGGGCACGGGCGTCTCCGGATCGTCCTGGTTGCCAAAGACGCCTGCGAGGAAGCGGAGGATCTTGTTGATGGTCTCCTGCTGCCGCTTTGCGCGCTGTCGACTCTCTACGGCCTCCTGCCACAGGTTCTGGTTGGAGTTCTGCAGATGGCGGAGGTCGGAGCTGATGCTGGTCTGGGCGTTTTTGATGGCGTTGATGGCGTTGAGCACGCTGGCGAGCTGGAGGGCGCCGCCTTCGCCTGCGGCGTCCTTGGCGCCAAAGTCGGTGCGCATGAGGGCGCCTGCATGCATGAGCTCCTGACCAGTAGTGGCGGCGCCAGACTCGCGCTCTGCCTGGTTGTCCTTATCGTCGCGCGGGCCCTTTTTGCGCTGCACTTTGGCGAGCCAGTCTGGATGGTCGCGGTGGAAGTGCGGGTTGGAGAACTCCCAGAGCTCGGACTCCTGGGGCGAGTCGTGCTTGAGCGCGCCCTGCTGGAGGTGGGGCACCTTGTGGAAGCCGTACATGTTGAGCTGGCGGACGAAGGAGGAGAAGCGATTGTGCTTGAAGAAGCGCGGGAGCACCTCGTCGCCGAAGCGGACGTGGTTGGGGACGAAGAAGGAGGCGCCGTCGGGCGACCAGCGGATGAGCTCGTCGGTGTTGGGGTCGTCGACCATGCTGCGGAGCTTGTTGAGGAAGGCGGGG